TAAGTTTCAGTTTTATGGTTCACTTTAAAAAATGCAGATTCCATAAGTCAGAGTGAGATTCATACATGTTTAATGGCATCAATTAAGAAATTCATTGTGTGATACAAGTTGAAAATACAGATAAAATAAAGTCTTAATTTGAAAATATTGTCGTGTTAATCTTCACATGAAACCAATGAAATAGATTAAGTCCACATATTTCCAGTTGGTTAGTTGCAATTTGTTTTTTCAGTTTTCTATCAGAAGGGATATTTAATTGAGAGGATACACTTGACTCTAAATGAAATGAGTCATGAGATGAGGAATTTCAAGATTTGTAATTCCTGTTGCCATAATTACACATAAAATCTTTGAAACATGATTAAATTTCTTTAAGCAGAGTATGGGGAGGATTTATATTGGTATCTTTTTATATAATATATAATTTTGTAGTAAATTAATGGGACAAATGTTAGCCTTTTAGATATGATTGAATTTTATTATGTACACTGGTGTATCAAAGTATTGAACTGTATAAATATTTTAAAATCTGGGTAACTTTTTTACTTATTTAAAAGTATTTGAAATAAAATTATTAATTATTTTCTAATGGAATGCTGGTCAAATATTAATGCTTTTATACTAATTGCAGAAACATCCATGAGATGTAAAGTATGTTGACCTGAGTTCTGTATCATGAGTTAGAACAGAAAAATAGATGAAGGATAACTAGCGATCATGGTGAGACTGAGGTGCCATCTGTGTATCTCCACAGTGCCTGTCATCACGGCACCTGGGCGTGACAGGGAAATATGCCTGTGCGCATCCATAGGACAGCTTTGAAGCTCAGAGTCTTGGTGACCTCAAAGGTCTGAGGACTTGGAATGGTTTTGTGGATTTCCCTTTCCAGTCTTTGGCTAAGCTCCTAATATAATTCATTAACGAATAATAATCAAATAATAGTTTTCACTTGGGTGCTTATAACAAAATGACCCTCTCCACTTTATAGCCTCTAGTCAGATGAAATGTGCTAAATGCCAAAGTAGAAATATACCTCCTGTTCATTGTCTTCTTGCATATAAGAAATGGAACTGTGACTGATGATTATAGCTGTCTTTTTATTAAATAATAGTCTTTCTTCGAGCAATGAAAAAATTTGAAAAGAAATTTGTGTTCATTAAGGAACATTGTCTCACTTTTTCTAAACACTCTCGTGTTCTGTTTTAATGAAAAAATGTTGCTTGGCAGGCCTGTCATCATCTGATTCAGCATCTTAATTATTTTACTTTTATGGAAGAAACTCTGGTAACATATTCATAAATAAATGTTTATTAAAGCAGCTCTCTTATCTGTGCCTCTTTATAATCAGTTCAATTGAATTATGATTTAGGTTATAATGCCTGCATCATGTTAATTTAGTTATTCAAGTGCAATAATCAGGAATGAGCTGTGTTTGTATTTTGACCTTCTTTCTAAAGATTCCATACCACCTTTAAAACAGTACACGAATAAAAGTGTAGGTGAAATTCATTTGAGCACTGTATCACAACCCTCCCCTGCAATTAGACCTACTGTTAGGCTAGGAAAAAACATTATAAATGTAAAATATAATTATCAAATCATATTTTTGTTTTTGTGGAGCACCTTTTTTGAAAAAGAAATGCAGCAAAGGCTACCCCTCTAATATAAAAGTTAATAAACTTCTTTAAAAACTTATTCTGAATCTACATAAATTAAAAATAAGTTATTGCACATGGCAAGGGTTTACCTTGTCCATGGGCCATAGAGTAGATAAAGATTTGTTTAGCAGGACAACTGATCAGGCCTCACTGTTCCAACGTTTTTCAGCTTATTCCAGAGTCCTGTTTTTCTCCTATTATCTGCATCTCTCCACAAATTTTTCTTTCGCAGTTCATTTTTTTAATGATTACTTTTTAAATGCCTACAGTTTTCATAGCAGGGGATTACTTTTACTAAATTGCTCAAGTTATTTGGTGTCAATAATTGGTACGAGGATTATATAAAACATCTACCTACACAATATCTAGCCCAAAATTTATTAGCTCTTTGATTCCCTTTTCCCATCTTCAGATACTGAGAAATCATTGAACAAATTTTAATTTTTTAGATTATTTTGAGAAGATATAGTTGACAACATTGCGTAAATTTAAGGTGTAAAACACCTCTATCATGTCACATAATTATCATTTCTTTTTTGTGGTGAGAACAATTAAGATTTAGTTCCTTGAAGTTTATAATACAGCATTGTTGACTATAATCTCTAGATCTCCAGGACTTATATATCTGTTAGTTTTAAGTTTGTACTCTTAAACAATATCTCCCGATTTCTACACCCCAGCCTCTGGTTTTTAGGAGTTTGGCTATTCAGATTCCACATACAAAGGAAATCAGACAGTATTTGTCTCTCTGTCTGACTTAGCTCACTTAGCATAATACCCTCAAGGTCTATCCATGTTGTTGCAAATGTCAGGATTTCCTTCTTTATTATGACTGAATAATATTCCACTGGTTGGCCACATTTAATTGAATACTTCACATGTTGCAGGTGTTCTGGGAAATTCTGTGGGGAATAAAAAATGAATCAGGCAGTAACAAGTTTGTGGGGAAGGTGTACATGGAAAATCTTGAGGAGAGATATCGTGTCATTTCTTTGTGTAACCTCAGTAATTATCAGTGCCTGATTGATGTGTGGTACTCAAAACACTGACTGATTCAATTATTTCAATTTGGGAGAAATTATAGTAAGTGGAATAAGTCACATACTGTAAACCCTAAAATAATGTATTTTATTGAAGAGGTGACATTTCTTTAAGGCCTTAAAATATTGATAAATTATGATAGGGGGAAGGGCATTCGGGCTGGGGGATATGATAAAAAGACTTATATGTGTATGTGACAGAGTTGATGTTTTGCACTAGAGGTGGTTGTGTTTTCTGTCATTGAAGCTGAGTGAGCATAGACTCAGTGAGAGTGAATCTGGAATGGCAGGTTCAAATTAACCACTTGAAGACCTCAAACCTCTTTGCATCCTATATCTATGGATGATGAGAGAATAGTGGGCTAGGTGGCTGTTCTCTCTGAACTTGATTATTGCTTTCCATGTTAATGATGGATTTGTCCTGCACCTTGTGATATTTTTGTGTTTGTTCTCACTTTTATGAAAGTAGAAACCTTTTTTTCCAATCTATCCCCAGTGCCTAAAAAAGATTTGGTACAAAACATTAATTGGATAAATATTTTTAATCACTGAATATTTAAATAATTCCACATGATGTTATATGAAATTGTCAGCTCTTACAGATTTTTGAGTGGAGAAGAAATATTGTCTCACCTCTGTTTCATGAAAGCAACCTTAAGAGTTGGCTTGGACCATCTATCCATCTGCTTGCATTTGTGCTCATATACTCATGTACCAGTTTATATGAATGAACTGAATGGCGTATTATCTAAAATAAATCTTTCTAGTTCCCACATATCTAAATAAGGACAGTGCTCCAGAAATAATTCCTAATATAATATTTCCTGCATTACCAATTTTGCCCTCTCTTTGGACCATTTCCATTGGCATGCAAGCATGCTGATAGTTTTCCCATCTTAAAAAAATAAAACTAAAAACTAATATACAACTACCCTGACCCTATTTCTTATACAAGTACTTTACCTTTTCTCTATTCATTTTTATGTGAAGCTTCTTAAAATTGTAGTTTATACTTGCTGCATTCAATTCTTCTATTTGATTCTCTCAAAAAAAATTTCAGTCAAGCTTTCTCCTCATTGCTTCCCCCAAAAGAGCTCTTCTTGTCACCAGGGATAGCTACTTTGCTAAATCCAATGGCTAATTCAGGTCTTATTTTATGTCAACTTTCAGAAGCATTTGATAGAGTTGGTCACTATGTCTTTCAAATAATTTCTTCCTTTGGCTTGTGGACATCATACTCTCCTTTATTAGTTGCTTCTCAATTTCTTTATCTGGATTCTCCTTATTCTTCTGCTATATTAATTTTGGAGTGCTTCAAGGCTCAGTTCTTGTACCACTTCTTGATACTATTAATACTCATCCCTTCGGTGAGTCCATCCAGTCTTATGACTATTTATATCATCTATACATTAATGACCCAAAGTTACATGTAACCAGAAATTTTTGTCTGAAATTCAGAGTAATATGTCTAATGGCCTTTGCAATATCTCCTTATTGATGTCTAGTGGGCATTTCTAGTATCTCCAATTAAATATAACCCAAATTGAAACCTCTTATTCCTGTCCTTCCAAGCTTCATCTTAGCAAAAGTCAACAACTTAGTTCTACTTGATCAAGTTGAAGACTTTAGAATCATTCCTGATTTTCTGTAACATCTGTCATCCAATCCATAAACAAATAATGGATTTACCTCCAAAAATATTTTGTACACCTCTACTACTACCCGGTTCAATTTATCTTTCCCTGAAATACAGATGATTGAAATAGCCTCAAAATTTGTAGTCTTTACCTATCTTTACTTTGCTCCCTGAGTCTATTCCCATCTTCATAACAAGCTGAACTCTAAAAATTGAAGTCAAACCATATTACTTCTCTGCCAAAATCTTCCAATGGATTTCCATCTCACTTGCAGAAATAGCCAAAATGTGTACACAATTTGCACCCATCATTTCTTCATCCCTCGTTCCATCTATTCACCATCTTATTCATTCTGGTTTTCCCATGCTCCTAATTCCTAACACACACACCAAGCATGCTCTTGTCTCTGGGAAAGAGTTGCAGAGAAAGAGAACCCAGATAAGTAACATAAATTAAGGGATTTATTATAGGGATATAGGGATTGACCATATGCAGCTGTGTGTGTTTATTAATTAAACAGTCTATTGAATGCTGCTGCTGCTTTTGTTTCTAGGATTAGTTCTGAAGATAACAGAATGGGCAACTGGGAAGGAAAGATGGATGAGAAGTAGAAAAGCAACAACAAAGTGATCCATGAGGATGTCTCTCATTGTCTCCATCCTTAGTGATGCAGGTGCCTACAATGTGAATGTCCTTGGCTGCAACGCTGCATTCTCACCTGGTCCAGTTACTGGAGATTCTGAAAGAGGGCAGGAGACAGAGGAGTTTGGGACCTGACTGCTACTGCAACAAGGCCAACCAGCAGGTCAGTGACAATGTTTGTGAGCCACAATAGCTTTCAAACTCACACTCACCTTTCTAGGATAAACATGGGTGCTGCTGCCCTGCCATCTTTCAATTCATATGCAGATTCCATTTGTGGTCAATGCTAACAGGGTATCTTCCTTATTTGTCTACATGGAAATGTGGGGAATGTAGTTTCAGCTTAACTAACTTGACATAACAGAAAACCACCATATTTCATTTAAATTTTGCAGTTTTAATGAAATTATGCTTTAAATTGTGGACTTTGGATTAATAATAAAATTTTAGGAAGCTGTGGCATGTTACCTCATGCCACATGAATAAATCTTAGCATATCACTCAAATTAGTCTATTCTATATAGTAACATTATATAGTGCTTATTGTATAGAATGGATTTAGTAATTATGATGAATAATTATTTTTGTCATTATAAAAGCAGAATTATAGTATCCTTTCAACTATTATTATTGATAGTTTTCTGTCCCAAGCAAGAAGAGCTCAATGATAATTACAATTGTAGTAATTAAAATTCTGATGTCTGGAGTGGGAAAACTCATTAGAAAATAAAGATGCCTTATCAAAGCTCTGTATTATGCTTTATTTTAGGTGAAAAGAAAGAGATCAGTCTGGGTTTTCTGAGTTTAAAAATTAATTACAATATTAAATGTAATAATCAGATGAGTTCCAAATACAATGCCTGGCACATAAGGTCTTCATCAAAGGAAGAAGTAACAAAAATGATGGTGGTAATGAAGAAGGAGACTGGATTATGCCAGTGACGTAAGGACATAAAGCATGGTAATAAATAAAGAAAATCTATCAACATCCATTTTCAAGGCAATTCATAGTGGTTCTAATGGAAAACTAGATAAATCAGTAATTAATTATCAATTATAATGACTCACTCATCTTGTGATTTATTCTGTGAACATCTCTTATTATCTCCAACTCATAGGTAACTTTTCTATGAGTTTGTCATACCTCTTCATAAGCTCTCCTACCATGTCACTGACCTATGTGCAGTTAAAGGATAATCTGGCTTTCATGGTCACATGACCAAGGGCATGACATTTTTTTGCATAGAAAGAACCACCTTTATGCAGCAAAGAGAAATGGCAGGCATTTGGCTTTTATGGACTGTGTAGGATAGGTCTGTATCTACGTAGATGAGCTGTACATTACTCTTAAAATAGTGAGAAAAGCAAGAAATTTGAAGAATATGATACAGAGCTGCTTTGAAAGTGAGAAAGAAGTACAATGCATAATTTCTGATGAGTTTGATTTTTGAAATACAAAACATTACTTTCTCCTTTATCCCTAAGAGAGGTGCTCACCTCTCTTCCAGTTCTCCTCTGGGCACATGGTTGAATTGTACTTCATTACTCCTTCCCCCATCACCTCCCGCATTTGTTCAGGATGGCCATTGACCTGCTGTGGCCAATGAAATATAAGCAGAAGTGAAGTGTGTCAGTTCCTGGTAGGAAGAGCTAACTGTAGGCAATTGACTTTAAATGTATCTTTTTCCAGATGGTGATTATAGTAGCAATGGCTGAGATAGAGCCTCCATGAGCTTGGGGCTTTGAGTGACCACAATGAGCTGAACCTTATGCTGCTCCATTTGGACATTTAGGATAAGTAAAATATAAACATTTGTTGTGTTAAGCCTCTGAAAATAGGGTGGTGCTTGTTTTTGAAGCCTGACCTAGCCCATCCTAACTAGTAAAGGTGGTGACTTATGGTGCTTATATGCTAAAAAAGAACCATTCTAGAATGCACTGTCCAAAGTCACTCAGTCTCTTGTCATAAAATTCATACAGTGAGGAAGAGACCCCAGATCCACAGATGGTGGGTCAAACTCCTTGGTGGTTGGTATCAAAAGAACAAGTGTTAAGCCCAAGGTAAATGTGTAGGCAGCCATCTGTCTTTGGCCAAGTGAACATACTAATGTTCCAGGTCTTTAGGCAAAAGCCAAAAAGAGATGACAGCTTTCAGCTCAACAGATAATATAAGATGCCAAACATTTTTTACTCTATTCCTTATTTGTCTAAGAAGCCTCCAGATTTCTAGTTTTCAATCATCAACAAATAAGTACATGCAAGCATGAATTTATTTTTATCATGTTTCTTGCAATAAATGATTTGAAGCACTTGATTAGCCTGACCATGTGTGTGTTTGGTGAAATATTTGCACTGTTAAGATAATGACACAAAACACTCTACATACTTAATACACTTCATGTTAAAAAAGAAATAAAATATTTTGGGAATTACCCTAAAACTGTTTGATACACACAAAAATGGATAGTATATATATTCGTAATATGCTTATTGTCTTTATTGTAAACAATATTTAAAAAATTATTAATTTAATAAAAACTGTTATAATTTATAATAGTTGCTCAGAGATTTGGAATGTTAATTTATTCTATAACATAATCTTTAAAGTAATATAATTTTAGCTTTTTCAGACTAAAATAACATGTTATATATAAAGTAATAAAATGCATCACTAGTCATAGTCCAGAATCACTTTACCAGCCCATCTACTTCAAATTACCTGGATTATCCTTAAGTTTGACTAGGAGAGGGAGGCTTTTTGAATTTCTCAAAAGATGCTAAAAGATCTCATAGAACTTACTCGAATACTTACATCAAAGTTAATGAATATTTATTATGAGTCCATTATGTGTCAAGCACTGTGCTAAACACAAAGACACATAGTGAAAAGCACTAATAGGACTTGTTTGTACTTTACAGACAATATTCAGATCATATTAAACAAATAATTATACAAATAGATCATCATGGTCTGATAAATGTTACAAAGGGGACATTCCAGCTATTGTAAAAGAAGATAATAAAAAGATAAAATTTTATCTGGAGTTCAGGGAGTTTTTCTAGAAGAATAAAATCTCAGCTGTGAGAGCAACTTGAAAGATAAGGAGGAAGCAGGCAAAGGAGCAGGGGAAGGATTTTTCAGATAGTGGAATCAGCTTTGCAAAAGCTAGGTAACAGGAAATGGTATGATTCATGTAATGAATAAAATAAGTGTACAGGAAAAAGAGAGAATAGGGTGAATGGTGGAAACAGGCTGGTTTGGAAATAAACCTCTGTGGCTTGCTAAGAGTCCTGAGGAAATCCTACGTTTAAAATTGGAGGAGTATGACACAGTGATGGGGGAGGAGCCATCAGTGAATCAGGAGGAAAAGAAAGACAAAACAGTGTTAACAGAAAGCAAAAAAACCCCCAAAACCAAAAAAGCAAAATAGATTGGACTCTCATCTCAAGCTGATTGTTGTCACCAGAATAGAGACTCTGTGTTGTGAGATCTTATTTTATTTGAGAAGCAGAAATCTACATTATGTGAAATTCCTCAATTTGTAAATCAAGATGTGACTGTTGAAATTGTACAAACTCTGTCAATGGGTTGGAAATGATGACATTTATGAATGTCTTATACCAAAATTTGTAACCCATAGTGATAGCTATTTGGTTTAATCAGATATTTAGAAAATTAGCAAAAATATTTGGCCTTAATTCTTAATTTAACAGGTATTGAAACTTACAGAAACAGGGACATACTGAAAAGAGGAAATCTATTGAACTTTTAAAACCAGAAATGTTCAATTCAATTGACAACTTACGGTTGGAGGGCCTACTCTCTATGTAAGAGCACCAGACGTAGTTATAGTCTTAAAGCTAGGAAAAGACTTGCACATGACCAAGAGTAAGCCTTATTATATATTATTTTATTGCTTGCTCTACCTAATGCATAAGGAGAAAGCCTCTTCCATCTCCCCTGATCCTAATTTCATCAGACATACTCCTAAGCACAAGAAAATGTGTTCATATCCTTGATAATATAACTGTCATTGTGTTAATTAGATGGCCAGCACTATTGAACACAGCCTGCATCTCTACAAGGATGTACTCCAGGGAATGCTGTATCAATCTATTCTCAGATCCTGGGCTGACATGTATATGGTGGCAGCTGTGGTTCTGCATTGGTCTCAACTGAAACATGACTCTTTCTCTGGCAGTCCCAAGTATTCTTTCTTTTGCTGGTGGCTGTATGTGCACATTGGCTCTTTCCTCCCTGCTAAAATCTGAAATGAACTTAAAAGCATGAGGGAAGCCTGCTGATGTGTACTTACATTTGACTCTGGAGGAGGTCGGCAAAGGAAGAACTTGAATAGAAAAGCTGATTACAAACTCAGTACCCATGTCAAGTTAAAAATAATCTCTCCCCTCTTAAATCTAGACTTTCAAATAATACCATTTTTGATGTTTCTAGCAGCTGGAAACTGACTGTTCATTAATGAGGGCTCTAGAAGTTGTAACTTCTTTTTAAATTTAAAATTACCTGACATGCATTAGTATCACAGGAAATGGATGACAAAAGGACTTGACTGAATATTTGATCCTTTTGTCATATTAGATTCATCCCCTGAAATTATAAACTATAATTTGATGAACACATTTTTTTTTACTTTTTAATATTTCTTATTTCCTAATATGTATGGAAATATTAAGATTATGGTCATCAGTGTCCTTATTTCCATGAAACATAAATGAATTTTCAAATGAGATTTGACATTAAAGTAAGATTTCTAATGTCTGTGTTTCAATAATTTCCACATCTATGAAATTTGAAATAATTTCATTAAATTGAAAGGTAAGTAAATTGAATTTTCTGACAAGTCTAAAATGTAGTGAGGTATGTAGTGAAGTCAGTGGTGGCTAGATTATTTTTCATACATCATGTATAATTAAACAGTTGATGTTATTATGCCATGAAATACAAAATATAGACCTTATTTTTATAAGATAAAATGTCAAAAGACAGTGGGATATGACTGGAACATCTGTGACCCAAGTGATGGTTAGTGTTGGTTTGACCCCTGAAAAGTGTATCTTTTTATTTTCCTCATGACTCCTTCCTGGTTGTATGTGTTTTTCTCAAAATCTTGGTTTGGAGAAAGAAGGGAACCTTTCTTAATA